TCCCCATTTTGTATGTATCATTAAATAACAGTAAAGGAAGGAGGGTCTCAGCCCAGATTTGAGCTTTCTCCCAGCAGTTCTTACACCAGTCCCGCTGCCTGGATGAGCTGGTAGCAACAGGCTATGTGTGGTGTAAACTCATCAGATGTTTCCTTTTTCAATGCTAATATATTTTAAAGGACAAAATGAACTATATGCACTACTCAAGACATAGCACCAAGTTCACCTGTTAATAGTACTAGAGTTTAACTTCATTATACACTCTCCCCATCCTTCTGTTTCCTTACCTATTGGACAGGGAATATGAAGTATTGTTACGGCATTTTGAGTGTGATCCTGCTCAGTTCCACAAATCAATTAGTAAAGAGAGAAACTTGACTTTCAAAAAAGGGTTGTTACAGAAAAAAAGATATTTTGAGGCCACCTAATTACATCTCAAAAATGCAATAATAAGGAAAGAATCTGCTTTGGGAATACAGGAAATGTTAGGAAGCAAAAATACACCACTCACTTTTGGAGTCTGTTTGCTATGTGCTATATAATTGCGGTGCATATTTGATTTATCCTAATTACATTTTAGTATTTTTATTTGCTTTCTGACCAGAGCAGAACTGCCACATTCTGAATTCACCTTGTTTATGCCTTTTGCGCCTTTCCTGTGGTGTGCAACATCACAAGCTTTGTTCTTTTTTAAAACAATAGAACCAAAACAAAACTAAAAACCACCATCCAAGCTGCGCATCATGGTTAGTGTACAAATACTCAAGTTTCTCTTGCTCCTGTTCATACGTATGCAAACTTTAACATCATAAGAACATATTTTAAGTTCAAGAAAAGGATTAATAGGCTTCCCAGATGATGATTACACAGGCACCAAAAGGGATGAATTCAAATCTTATGCACTGCTTTTTAGAATACTTTATTCATCTTTGAAACAAGATGGGAAAAGAAGCCTAGTTACAAGTAAGGTGGTATGTAGCTTCAACACATGGCACAATTCTGTGTCTGGGACAGGAGGCAGGGGTTGGTAACGTGGGAAGGTCAGTTGCATTGCATGGTATTTAATTTATGCTAAGTGGAAAGCACTTTCATTTTTATAGTACCTTGAAATTTAACAACTCTCTGGGGAGGAGAACCCTGCAGTTAAAAGATACTGCTGCTTTTTCATAAAAAAAAACACTGACAGAACAAAAAAACATTGCTTTGCATTTACAAGGTACCAAAGAATTTAAGAAAAAAACTAAAAGCTTTATTTAATGAAGCTGAGCGAATTATGCTTGTAGGTTAACAACAATTTTTTATGCCCTTCTCAGCAGTCAAAAGAATTGCTATTGTGTTGGTTATAAAAAATCCTGTAGCCATTCATAGCTTGGTACTGAAGGAATTTAGTCCAAGTCTCAGTTTTAGAATGTCAAAATGGCATTTTTTTTTCTATCTCTACAAGTAAGTTTTTATACCTTCAATCCCCCCCTCTCCAAAAGGCTTTCATCATATAAGTTGTGTTCTATAAAGCTTCTGCAACGCTTCTCATCCAGAGGGAGTTACTATAACATTATGCACGTTTAACCAACATCTGTTTTAAGATTAAAAAAAAAATAAATCCCTGAAGCTGAAGTGCAAATATACTGGAGAAGCAGGACTTTCCTCCTGCACTGTGGTCTGCTGCTTGAAGCAGAGTAATGCAAGCAGCTCATGGAAGAGTAATATTGCAAACAGTCACTAGTAACAAATTCAGAATTACCCACAGGGTCTTTAACCTAGCACTATGCAAGGGAAGTAAAGTGGTGGAGAGTTTCTGCTGTCAGCTTAGTCAAACACTTCTGAACCAGCTATCATCTTGCTGCAGAAAAAACAAAAACCACTCTTGGTTTTCATCAAAATAAAACCACTTTTGATTCTGTATGATCTTATGTATTATATCTTCTGTGCATAAGAAGCACCTGGAAAAGTGGTAGGGGGAGGCTTTCCCAGAAGTAGTGAGTAGAGGATTAGCAGCTTGTCATGATTCATGGTAGAGAAATGACAATTACTCACAACATAGACTTCAGACATACAGTGTTCCTTTATCAGCCGCCTTTAGCTGAGTTGTAGTAAGCATGGAGGAGCAATTGAAAAATACAAAACCACCCAACACATCGAGCTGCACATGGTGTATCACAGTGGTCTGAAGCTAGAAATAAGTTGCATAATTTATTTTTTTTTTTTAAACAAGCCTAGTAGCTTCTATGGAGGCCACTGCTTTTGCATGGCTTAGTCACCGAGGATTAGATGAGGTGCCTGCAAGATGTGTTTGACATGCACTTCTAAGCTGCTTAGTTGAGGCAGTTCCAAGTCATGTCTGCGATTTGCTCTTAGTGGTTCTGGAATGGAATTTTTCTACTGAACTACTACCACTACAACCAAAAATAACTGCTTTATGCTCACAATATTCAGAGGTGCAAAAGCAATTAAATATCCAGAGCATGTCAATAACTAACTGGCAAGAATGGACAAAGCGGCTACAGCTCTTCAAACCTTCTTCAGGTCCTTCTTCTAATGCAGATCATTCATTCCTGTTTACAGAACAGATTTCTTTTTTCACTCGCAGTAACATCCACTTTGCACGTGTCTTCTCACTGCTGCCTTTCTGGAGAGTGAGCTGTATCACCCAAGGTCTTGAATAAGGCCTTGAAATGAACCAATAAAGCCTAGCATGGACAGAAACACTGGGCAGACTTTGACACAAATACTTCTAATTTTACAGCTCATTCCAATAGAGCAACCTGCTAAACAGCAAAGAAGAAAGAGGTCTTGTAGGTCTCAGTGCCTACAAGAATTGAACCAGCTCATTAATGAACACTGGCTTCTGATTTCCTCTGGTTATGCTGGAATTTACTGAAACAGATTAAAGTCAGAATCTTTCCCCCAAATTACAGCAAGTGTAAGAGAGTAGCCGGATAAGATGTGCCTGTTAGTCAGCAGGGTTAGAAGATGGTAGTTCAGGTACTGAGCATCTGTGAGAATAAGGATTATGTAAAAACTCTAAACAGAGTTTTTCCAATATATTGCTATTTACATGTACTTATCTATAGCTAAGAAAACTTTTGGTACAGTTTGGTTTTTTTTAATTTCTCCATACACACACAAATATACTGGAATTAAAACTTGAAAATTCAGGACAAAGGCTAGTTTCCATACATGGTTCCTCTCCAAGGCTAATGCAGTAGTTAACTGTCAGCCTCTTGGAGGTTTCTTTCAATCTGACAGGTGCCATCCCAATCAAGTAGCCACATGTCCCGATCTTTTGAGACAAAATAAGAGGAAAATTAAAGCGATAACACATGCCAAAACAGAATCAGTTCCATTTTAAATCACCCTTCAAAATTTATTCTCAAACTGCAGAAGAACTAATGAATACCCAACTACTGTTTGGGTTTGGATAGTAAGTTCTGTTTCACACTACGTAGAACAGAGAAGTGACTTTGCAAGGGTGCAAAGAAAGGGGCCTGTTAGTGAGAGGACAGCTGCTAAGACTATTTTTCAGAATTTCCTAGCTTTTACCTAGGATCCTATCTCATGCTTTCCTCTATCAAGCCCCACCCCAGCAAATCTAAAAAAACCCCAAAAGCAAAAGACCTCCTAAAACAAACAGCAAAAAAACAAATACAAAACAAAACCAACAACCAAAACCTCATCAACACAAGTTTCAGCAGCAGCTACCTATGAGAAAAGAATTCAAAACTAGACTTGGTACTGAAACTGGCCTTTGTACTTTAAAACTGGAAACAGGAATTGTTAGCACAGCATTTCTTATGAGAACAGATAACATGACTGTACTCAGTGATGCATTAAACAAATTTGATCTTAGTTCTTCAAAAAAGAAAACCAGAATAGGAAGTGGCACAGATAGAGAACATTAAATACAGGGTTCCAAAAGCAAGATTACTGGTGCAACAGTAAATGGATCCATGACCTTTGTAATTGTACTTCTCTCAGCTCTCTCCATCAGTAAAAACTACAATGCAGAGACACATACTTGTCTGTGACTAAAAACTTTTCTAAAAAGCACCTAGTAAAAAGCTGCTCCAAACAACCCTTGAACACCTCCTCCATAAACTTGGCCAAGTTCCACAGTGTGTATTTAAAAAAGGGGAATTCTCACAGCTGCCATGACAAACATTATGCAGCTGAAATTCTAGTAAAAATAGCGTCATCAATTAAAATAGATAATTCTGACTGAAGTCACAATAGCTAAGCATATCTTTTCTTACAAGCACAGAACTACTCTAAATGCTGAGAGGCATGAAACAGCTACATGGCTGGATCCTCCTCTGATAACCAAGGAGACAGCTAACCTTTGAGACACAACTCCAGATGAGGAAGGAATCAATATACTTCAAACCAGGCAACTCAAGCAAAGTGTTACAAAGAAAAGCTTTTGCAGGGAAAAGAACCACCATTCAAACAAAAAAATAGTGAAAAATATAGTAGCGCTCCATTTAAATCTAAGAGTTTAGGATAGGAGGGGAGAGAGGAGAAGCATCTCCTGTATATTTACATAGTCATGGCTTATATGACTTGTGCCTTGATGTAATGGAAGGCTAAGAGAAAGCAAGTTACAGATAAGAAAGTACACTAAGATACACTAGATAAAATTTCATATTCCTTGTTCTGAAAGTAATGGGACAAAAGTTAGCCATTAGTGAAAAAAATACTTCCTACAGCCAGTATTACCTTTCTCAATGAAGAGGGATCGGTGTATTCCCCAAATAACTGCTGCATGCCAGCACAACCCAGAACCCCAGCCCCAGTTCTGTATTCCCAGGAGTTGTTTGTGTTGCAACAATTCTTTTGCTTTAAGTGTTTGAGATATGCATTCCTCTACATCATTTATTGATGACTAGAGAGGAAAGGAAAAAAGCAAATGTAAATTTAAAGTCTTATAGTAATTCTTTCTTCACCCCAAGGTATTTCTTTAGGCTGTCAACTTAAAATTGATTATATAAATCCTTAAATATGCATTGAAACAAAACATTTTTAATTCAGAAGTTTTGCTACAGGCTTTTGTTCAACTGACAAAGTAGACTAGGGAGTGTAAAAAATATTTATTCAACCTAATTCAATGTAACTATAATTTTCAATACTTAAAAACAAGATTTACAACACAGTCATGACCTTCTGCCACTCAGGTGAAATAATTTTATAATCCATACAGTGTTTTTATAATTGTATTTTTACAATAGCTTTAACTTCCAGAAGAGACAATGAGCTTTCCCATAGAACAAGTTTCAAACCCACTAATTTTCATCATTCAATTCTTCATGAAACTTTAAAAAACAGTAATAAATCAGTTGGAAATATATACAGAGAAGACCACTGAAAAGCTGTTTTCTCGAAATGAGGAATTCTGTAAGAAATACATATTATATCATTTCCAGACTATCTTACAGAAAGCAACTGTCAGAGGTTGCTGCTGTATTTAGAGTTTTATATAAAAGTGAGCCAACTAACACAAATATAATCAGCAGACTTACAAGATTATAATAATTCTTCAGTTACAGCAAGAACCTCAGAAGTATTTGATATTGATTGAATGTATAATTTTCAATACCTGTATAGTTTTTGAATACTAGTTGGCCATTATATACACTTTTGTACAGTTCTAAAATATTACATCTCAGTAATTAAGATAAACATACTATAGAAAAGGTACCATATTTTGAATTTCTCTAACATACTATTGCAGTCAAATATGAAGTCCCTTCTGCATTTACTTAATTTCTGGTAAAAAGAAATATTCACTTAGGAACACTTTCACTAAAAGATTTTTTTTTTTTTTTAAACCTTTTTCCATGCATTTGACATACTCATATGAATAAAGAAAAAACCCCAACTTTGAGAAAAAACAAATAAATTTTTGTTTTAAAAAAAAAAACCCTTCAAGTACTAAATCTAGATTAGGTCTGGTATGAATATTAAATGGCCATATTATGTTTGTCAAAATTCAACTTCATAAAACAGTTAATTTCGGTTGAAATTAAGTTTACAAATGCATCAGATATCTGAAGTGCTAATGTCTCCCTCAGCTGGCTACTTTGCACATACTGTAACAGTAAAGCTTACTGTATAAATAAACTATCACACATTTAAGATTCGTTACAGGACTGAGCCGAGTTGCGGTGGGAGTGTCTGGCTCCAGTGGGGTCCCCCAAGCTTGGTGTCCCCCCTCCAGCCAGCTCCTCACCGCAGCCGTGTGGGCAGCGGGGAGCCCGGACCTGGCACAGAGCTACCTGCCTGGGCCTCGAGAAGGGTGCCCCAATTGGTCAGTTCAAAGGTGGCTTTAGTGTCCAGTGCTGTTTTCTCACACTGCTACTGCTTTTTCTACTTGTATGGATATTTACATAATCAAAAGGAACATGAAAACTAAACAAGTGCTCTAATACTTAACCATAAGCAACTGAAATTTACTTCCCCCCCATGTAAGTATTTTACATGAAGGGAAAAAATGCTATCCAGCACCAGCCACAAAACAGTAAGAGAGCCATGAGAAAATAACACCAGGCACTGCAGGAGATACACCAGGACAGTAAAAATTACCAGTAATACAATAGTTGCCTGGAAGCCATGCTAATTCCAAGATCTAGTACAAAGGCAGCTAAAGCTGACACAGAAGTCCTGTAGTGATCTACTTTCTGCTTTCTCTGACCAGTCATCTGTTTACACTCCCTGTTTGATACCAATGAAAACTAAGGAAATCCTTATTGACTGATGTCCCACGACTACTTCTTCTTGGTAATGACTCACATTTCTAAAAAAAAAATCCCTTCATTGTATGAAATGCTGAACTGGATGATAGCAGGGGTATGAAAACACATATAGAAAAGGCATTTGGATATAGCCTACATCAATTTAAAATGTTCTTGTTCTGTAGTCGATGCCTTTTTTTTTTTTCCATTCAGCATATTGGCTCAAAGGAAATAATTCAGAAGCCTGTTGCCCAACAGAAATACCCCAAAATAATGAAAGTCAAGTCACATTCTTAGGTTCAGTGGTCGCTGAAAGGATTTACCCTGCCACAAGACAGTGCTTTATTGTATTTAAGGAAAAAAAACCAGGAGCAGCAACTTATCAACAATTCTCCACTAGTGTTCAATAATGATGGAACCAATACAACATGGAAACCTGTTTGGTGAGATTGTATGGCATCTGGAGATCACAGCCTTATGCTCCTTCTTGCTCAGGATAATTTAAAATTTTGCGGTGAGCTTGGCGCAAATATTGCTGCTGTTTGAAGTAAACCTTAAAAGCTCCTTTTATAGCGACAAAAGCAATTCCACCCTGAAATAAAAAGATATTTTGAAAATCTGCAGTGTTAGATCATTGCAAATTTTCTTTTCAAAAATTCCTGGTCAAAGACGACTTATTTTCCATCATACAGCATTTTCTTTTGAAATTTAACTGATTAGGACAATTCCCAGTGAGTAGTTCACAGTTTCTGTCACACTATTACAGAGGTTAATGTTACTTAAAGAGATTACATACTGGATCTATAAGACCTTTTGAAAGCTTTTATTTGCTTGGAAGTCTGACTTCTAAAAAAAATAAATTTAAAAAATCAAAATACATTCCATTTAAAGAACAAAGTAAAATACAGATACGTATCGTCTATCCTCCCTTCTCTTAATATTATACTGTACAGGCACAAGGAATAATATTAATGACCATTCTATAATCAGACTGTGAAAAAGGGCACTTGCCAAAGCGTGGAGTGATACAAAAATCTCTTTTTGTAAAACAAACTTTTCCCCCAGAAAATTTTACAGTATATTTATCTCAAGTCTTCCAAATAAGAAGAGACGTTAAGAAAGCCTTTTGTCTGCACAAACAGTTGTAATTTCACTGTTTCTTCCATATGGAATTGGAAACGGGCTGAAGTGACAGTCAGACGGCATCAAACTCAGTGTGCTGCTGTCAGGTTACTGACAAAGGAAGAGAGATTTTCTCCTGTCCTTGTCCTTCCTCCTCACTTCATCTTCTAGGGAGAGTTATTTTTCTCTCCTTATTAAAGTAAGTAACAGGGATTCTCTCAAAGAATTATTAAACAGAAGCTAATATGAAAGTGTTGATAATGTAAACCCCAGTCCTCCCTTGCAGAGATCGTTCTTAGAAGATGCTGATTCCTCATCTTCATTATCACCATTAATTACTGCTAAGATCTGCCTAGTACAGTACCAGATACAAGTTACAGCCTAGTCTGGAATTGAGATTAGTTTCAGTCATAAGGACAAACTTTCTCACAGGTGATGACTGTTCTCTGCCAAGATAGGAAACCTTAAAAAAAGCTCTCCCCTTAATCAAATGCCACTCTTAAACTCTGTATCAATTTATGTTCCTTTTTACTTTTCCTCCCTCCCCTCACAACACGCTTCATATTCCCATATTATAATTGCTTATGAAACAAACAATACTAAATCTTACCAAGATTGTCCTTTGTAAATTTGAGTTAACACTGCTGAACATCAGCTTGCCCACTATGGTGGCAATAGTAGGGAAAACTAGAGCTCCACAGAGAATACGTGTGGCAGAGACATGATCTGCCAGAGGGTTGGCCTCTGCTGGAATACGAGGAACAGGACATCCAATGCCTGAAGGAAAGAACAGATTTACAGAGCCACCACCTCAAACGGAATACAGTGCCCACCCCCACTCCACTACAAACTTACAGTCCAGTTTCTGTACTCATTCTTACTTTCAAATAAGACACGTGATTTTTAGTAGCTTGTTTTGTTACTAAGGCCTTAATTGAAACTGTGCTTCTCTTCCTCTTGCCCCATCTTTCCCACCAGGTACTATACAAACATAATTTAAATAGACTGAACATAAAACAGAGGAAGGGGTCACCCTTTACTTAAGAATGGCAAAAACTACGCACCTATTCCCATCCCCTAAAGGCACAAATTCAACGTTTGTATTTCCTTTTAAATTTAATCACTTTACCTGGAAATATGCTGTTCAAAATTTGTAGCTTATTAGAGTATTTGCGCCACAGCCTGAGCACATAGTCCTCCCAACGAATCATCTTGCCCAGTATTAGCATGACCGGGATAGTGGGAAGTCCAATCAAAAGAAATAAAGGGTCAGCTCTCTCCATGACGTCAAGACCTTCTTTGTGACCCACAACCTGGTGAACATGTATATAGTTGACAAACATAAAGACCACAACTGTGCAAAGAATACAACTTACAAAAATTCTAGTTTGCTTGGGGCTGCCCACACATTTTAAGTTCAAGGAAGAAAAGGAGAACAGGAAGAAAAAGAGAACAATACTGTTTTACCTAACATACCCTGTCTTCCCTTTGCATCGTGGTTTCTTGGTTGTAATGCAGATGAACTGCCAGCCCTAGTTTGCAAGTCACTAATCTTGAAGAGAGGTATAACACAATTTGTTACCATCTCTAGAGAAGTTTCATGTGCTTCTGTGTAAGTAAAAACCTAAACATCTGAAACATCACAATAGCATGCTTTCCAAAATGCACAGAAGGATTTACAGTTTTAGAATAATTAATGTTACATTCAGAAATTTCTTAGGTACTACTCTCTAAAAGATAAATTGACAGCAAGTATCTCTGTTATTTAGGAACACCTTATGGAACAGAGATCACAGTATTAAAAAGTACTGCTTCTCTAGACAATACAGGAAGAGGTACGTTGGTATGTGCTTTCTACTGGCACATAAAAAAATACCATCAAACTTTGCAGCTTATAAAACATACATAATAAAACTGCAACAGAGGAGTGCCTTATGTTTTCCTAAAAAAAAGTACATACTTTTTATTTTAAATAAGTAACTCTAAGTCTCTAGCAGGGCTGAGGACAAAAAAAAAGAAATTGAAGTAGTATATCCTCCAGAGTTTTCTCAGTTTAAGAATTACTAAATGCTAGAAACTTCTTGAAGTGCTTCCAGACAGATCAGGCTCTTTCATGACTTTTCCCATAAGAATCCAAGAAAACTAAACACACTAAAATAATTATCATTACATTTGTCAGGCACTGGATTTCCTGATGTGTTTTCATCGACTTGTTATTTTCCCCCAAATATGCAAAAAGCTGTCAGGTCTTCGATAGTGCAACAGTTAGAATTAGGTGGTAAGAACACGCAACAATAGCGAAATTTAAAAAAAAAAAAAACAACCCCAAAACCCCAACCAAACCCCAGTACTTCTGGAACAGAAGCAGGACAGAAGAAGTTTGGGTAATGTACTACAGCACCTTCAAACTGTGCTTTTTAGCCTTGCTTTGAAACCCATTCCATTTTATTCTTCCATAACAGGAAGTTATGTTACATACCACGGGGGTCTAAAAATAGCCATAACCAATACTGTTGCTACCAAAAGATTATTCCTTCAAAAAATATTTAGCATTTGTCCTCCAGCTTCTTCACTATCTTCCACCCAAATAATGATGTCTGACGCTATCCTGTTTCTCCTTATAGTCCTTGTCCATCAAAAACGAGCCCCAGTGTCTTGTCTCTTTACTTCAGATTACCATTTCTCTCCACTTTCAGTAACCCCGTATGATTTGTTACCGACTTAGCTACCATTAGTGTCACAATGTCAATTCCGTATTTATTTTTCTTCATCTGAAGTTTAACCTTTAAAAATACCTTTTGTGCTTCTCTCTGGCCCTTCAACTGAAGGAAAGGAGTCTGAAACGCATCAGGAAACAAGTTGTATTAAACCTAGCAAATCTGGGGTCACAGAAGGGGTGGAACAGTTTTCCCCCAATCCTAGTTTAATCTCCTCCATTATAAGCAAAAATAAATTATTCTCTTACTCAGCATGTCATCCATATGATCAAAAAGCATTAAATCAGAGGAAAATGGCTAATTCTTCATACCCGAGATTTGACCAACTGTTTAAACTAATGTTTAGACAGATGCTCATTTCAAAAGCAGAACAACTACAGAAAAGAGCATTTATTTTTCCTTGCTTTAGCCAGCAGCTAAAGCATGTTCTAAGCCCAGGAAAAAGGAATCTTAATTAATTAGACTTTCTTTCAAAGCGCTGCTTTGAGAGCTGGTGCGAAGAGGCAACATGTGTACCTGCATCACAGTCACAGCTCCATACGTGACAGCTGTCCAGTAGATAGAGCCCACCATTATTCCAGCTGCAGCAAAGGGACATGCCTTTGAAATCAGGCGATCTGCAAGATCCAAAACGTAAACAACTGGACCTATGATAAAGGAAAAGTAAGGTTTCAAGATATATACATATATAAGCATACTGAAGAAAGCTCTCAGTATCTATCACAGACAAGAAAGTATGAACTTGGCAAAATACAAGTCTGACATCCCACATGTGCTGTTTAAACAAGAATATATAATTAAAAAGCTACTAAGCTAAACTTGTCACTTATTTCTACCTACCATTTCATTCACCACCACATCTTTCTGAGAGATTAATATACTGGTTAGAGCACTGACTAATTTACCCACTGAAGCTGACTAGCTTCCTTTGTGTTGAATCAGAATTTTTCTGTTGTAGAAGCCATTTTAGGCTTAGTGGCTTTTTTGTTAAGATATTTTAGTTTTCAAAAGGAAGAAACGCAAATTAGTTGTAATGTACTTCACGTGTGTATCTTTGACAGCTTCACCTCAGAATTCTGTCACTGAACTATCCTGCTCTGAAGTAAAAAGGAGCACAGTCAATATGAAAGATTCCTTCCACTGTAAGATGCTGCATATTTTTAGAGGATCACCTCTCAAATATTGGAGGGAAAAAACCCAACCTATTCAGGTTATTTAGTGCCATTGACAACAATGCCTACAAGTATCTCAAGGGCGGGCTGAGGGAGGAGGGAACCAGACTCTTTTCAGTAGTTGCCAGTGAGAGGACAAGGGGCAATGGGCACAAGTTGGAACATAAAGGGCTCCACTTGAATATGAGGAAGAACTTTTTCACGGTGAGGGTGACGGAGCCCTGGAAGAGGCTGCCCAGGGAGGGTGTGGAGTCCCCTTCTTTGGAGATTTTCAAGACCCGCCTGGATGCTCCTGAGTGATGTGCTCTGACAAGCTCTGGGTGGTCCTGCTTTAGCAGGGGAGTTGGACTAGATGATCTCTATCTCTCCCTTCCAACTCTAAAAATTCAGTGAAATTCAGTGAAATGCATGGATAGAGTTTCATTGCTCTATGGACAACGGCACTTTCCAGACTTACACAGAGCAAGACAATACTCTGCACACTGCATCTTTCTTTGAGACTGCAAAAGCACCAGAAAGCAAGCGCCCGAACCTGAAGTCTGAAATGTATGTATGGAAGAGAAAAACGTCATCACCATGGTCCGATTCCACATTACATTAATATTTGTCAACATATTCTAGATACAGACTGCCCTCCTGCAGCTCACACACATGAATAGTTCTTGTTGGCTCCCTCCTACTTTTTCCTACCAAAATTGGTGAAAATATTAAAGTTATTCTCAAAACGAGCCTATAGGCATTCTTCAAGTAACTAACCTAATGTCTGTCATCACAGTTTACCCACTCTGGCCTATAATTCTTTCACTACTTCCTAATCTTTGGTATCTTTAAAAT